GTTAACTAGAGGCCCAGTGCACAACATTCATGCATTGAGGGGGGAGTCTCTCTCTCAGCAGGGCCTGTTCCCTCTCGCAGTCTGGGACCCCATGGTGGACATCCCCTGAGGGGTCCTTAGCACTGTGGCAGAGACAGAAGAGGCTCCTGCCAAGGCCACTCCACTGGCCAGCCACCAGCCCCATGAGCCTGGTTTCTGGCTGAGCGATGTTTCCCCTGTGGGGGTGCACTGGACACCAGGGGGCAGCTTCTGCATTGAGCATCTGCCCCCTGGTGGTCAGTGCACATCATAAGGGCGGTCGTTTCACCCTTTGGTCGATTTGCATATTAGGGTTTTATTATATAGGATGAGTATATCTTATTCATACATATGTACATGTGTGCAGCCTGGTCATTATGCCTGTGATATAAGGAAAGTCATGGCACATGCAGTGAATCAACAGACACGCTCAGTCTAACTGACAGCTAACCTCAGGCATGGATCCAGAGTCTGGTGCAAAGCATTTATTTTGTTCTTTTCATAAGAGACTGATTTTAAGATTATGAGTACTGGACTAGTAATATCAGCTGGGAACTTATTAAAAATGCAAATGATAGGCTTTCTCCCAAACCCACTGAGTCTGGAACTGTGCAGACAGGGCCCAGCTCCGTGTTCCAGCCAGTCTCCGAGGTGACTGTGATGGGCACTAAAGCGTGAGAACCACAGGGAAAGGTGACCTTGCACAATCCACCCATGTGGATGAACTCCCCTAAGTGCCTGCCTTCAAGTTTTCTTGGTTTCCTTTCCAACCCTCTTCAGTCTTCATAGAGTCCTGACTCCATTTGTAGTCACACTTACGCTGGGAGCCCTAGCTCAGTCTTGGTGGACACAACAATAGATCGTTGTATTCTTCAGTGAGGAACACCTATTTCTCTGTTATTAATATCGATCACTTTTTATTTCGGGGATACAATGCCTTATTGTGTAAAATGGTTCACTTTCCAAGAGCGATAAAAGATGAGAGAATTGAGATCCCCATTCTGCCACAGGTACTATAAGTGGGGTGGCAGAATTAGGACAATCTGGTTTTTGTTTCTTGTTCCAGAATAATAATACCACTCCTCCTATTCTTTTAAGTGCTTTGGTTTAGATGGTAAATGTAGATTATAAGCTATTCTAACACTATTGAAAAGTGATCAAAGAAGGATTCACCAAGAAGGACATGTTTTGGGCATAAACATGAAAGATGCCCACTTACAATAGATAGGCAAACAGGACTAGAGATGTGGGTGGAGAGAAATCTTAGAGGCTAAGATTTCAGGATAAATAATGCTGTAAAGCTGCAGGTTACACTCAGCAAAGCTTAAGTAATTCACAGTCTATTTCTGGTGGGAGCAGTCTATAATAATAAAAGGGTGGTATGCTAATTAGACCTGATGTCCTTTCAGAGGAAGCCAGGGTTGCAAGGAAAGCCTGGGCTCTGGGTGCCAGAGGGAAGCCGCTGCCAGCAGCCAGGGGGGAGGAAGGCCTACTCCTGCACAAATTTCATGCCTCTAGTAATAAATGAAGTTGAGGAAGAGTGATTTGAGATAAAGTCTTCTGGAAGGAGTTGGGCAAATTGTGTTTCCTATTACGTATTCCCCCAATAACATACAATTTAGGTTTTTTGGATAGTTATTAAGAAGGATCTTGGTGTATATTTGTTTCCCGATTTATGTTCCTTCTATGTATTTGAAATGCTTATTGCTCTGTTTGTCATCAGTTCCGGCCTATATTTAAAAAAACAACACACAAAACAGTCATTATAAACATAGTAGAATAAGAATTGACTTTCTACTTCAGTTCATGTTTTCAAACCCAGTTACAAAATAGATACCAAATGATCTACAATTCATAGCATTTTATGCCTTTATCATAATAATATCAGTGCTGGACTATTGAGATTTATAGCCTGTCAAGAACAGAATCGGGGGAATTATGCAAATACCTAACTGATATGTTGTGATATTGTTTTTCTGAATGTTAATATGATGAATGCATTCTATTGCTATAAAATTACTATATGAGAATTATTTCTATCAACATTTACAATAAAAAGGTATGTGTTTCATGTTGCTTTGGGAATATGCAAACTGTTTACAGAAAGCATGTTCAATGGCAAAGTTAACTTAAAGCATGAGTAAAAATTATGGTAAAATTGTATATTTGATTTCACACAATTAGTTAATGTTTCTCTTTTGTTGGTGATTTTGAAACATTAAAGATGTATTTAACATTAACATAGCTTGGAAAAGCTTTGCCCTGGTCCCTGCTGGTGTCACTCAGTGTGGTTTGGATGGCATTTATGCACTGAAAAGTTGCAGGTTAGACTCTAGTCAGAGCACATGCCTGGGTTGTGTAGGAGATAGCCAATTTTTTAGATGCTTAGATATTTGTCTCCCTCTCTCCCTTCCTCTATTTCTAAAAAATATCTTTAAAATATCATTATTATAGCACACCAACCTCTTGTTACTGACCCTCTCTATGTGGACAGTATAGAAATGATGTCCCTTTTTCTCTTTATCATCTGGGCTAATATGCCTTCCCTCTACTGTCTGCAGTGATGAATTTTAAGAAAATAACTTCCTTTTTTCAGTTAATCATTGCATCTTTCTAACCATTAATAACAAAATACATTTCAGAGTTAATAACTGTCTGAAAAGGAAAAAGAACAATTAATAAATTCTGACATTATTCTTTGTTTAATTGTCACATAACTAATAAATATATTTATTATATTTATTAATACTTTTTTAGGTAAACATGTTCTGAAGACGTGTAGTACTTAACATTACATTTTAATTCAAATAATCTATAAAAACATAACTAACTGAAGAATGGGTTTATTTAGCCTGGTATCCTTTATTCATATATATGAGGAGACGGTAAATATTCTGTATGCTGCACATTGTCTAATTCTTGATTTACTTTTTGTAAAGCTTGTACACTTAAAATTGAATGCCACATCAACATATTTGTAGAGTTAGCACATACATGGATTTTATGAGTAATGTGTTTTTCTATTTATAAATGAAACTATTTACAACCCTGTTTCCTTAATCATTATCTAACCCAACAATTATGTTTACTTTGGGAAATGAGAACGGCACAGAATGTTAGGCAACTAACTAAGAAAGTGATATAAAGTTTTTTGTAGAAGTAGCTGACACATCTCCAAGTGCTGATTTTAAAACTGTCACTTTATTTAAAAATGCAGTCTTAAAATTCTAAGCTTATCTTTACTTACCATTCTTTAGCAATTGACTATTGGAAACGCTTATGGGTAGGCAGTGGCTGTGGTTTATTGCAAATCTGAAAGCAGGAGACTTCCCCTGGTATAGTAAGGACTGGTCTCTGTGGGTTAGAAGACGATTTGTAATGTTTATTCGATGAACAGTAGCTAATGCCTCTTCCAGCAGCCACCTGGGAGGACTTACCACTCTTATTTTTTTCTGTTTTCTGTGTGTAATTTAGGATTTGAGAATCTTTTCTTTTTAGGACTTGGGAAGCTATTTTTTGTATTGCTAACAGGAAAAAGGAAAGAGAGATAATCATTAGGTCACAGTTTTGGAATCCTGTCAGATTGTCATCCCTTTATTTGGTTTTCATTTTAAAAGCGGTATCAGATGAGGCTTAACATCATTACTTTTACTGTTAATAAAGCCCTAGCTCTGAGAAGCATCTATTCTCTCTACTTGCATATTTACACTCTTAAAATTGAGCTCAGCTCTTACATTTTTTTCTTTGCTTTTACTATATGATTCTGGGATAACATTATATAACAATTCTTGAGGTAGCCTTTAAAGACTTGCATAGTTCTATCTGCAATAATTTTAACCTTGTAGGGCTGGCCTGAAAGAATCTCAAAAATCTGAATCAGTTAATATTGCTTCCACATTTGTCAGTCAATCTAATTAAGAGCTAACCCAACCTTTCTATGTTCTCTTAATAATTTTTCTGTTACTTAAATATATCTCAATATGCATAGCCCTGTTAGTGTATATGCATCAGAGACAGAAGCTATTTTAAAGAACAAATAATTAAGATCAACTAAATTCCAATTGGTAAATATCTTTTATTTTCCTACAAAGGAACTATCATCCCAGAAGCTCAGAGATTTATAGCTAATAATTAAATGTTATACTACTTATGCATCACATATAATGACTTTATAGGTGAAGGTTTAAACCAGTTGATTGGTGACTTAGTGAAATATATTGCACTTGAGCTGCAGATTCAGCAATAGGACTGACACAATGCCTTAAATCTCAAACACTTTTATATTAGAAAGCTTTGGTAATCATTTCAAAACGATGTCAATGAAACCATCAAGCTGTGTGCCTTAAACTTACACAGTGATGTGTGTCATTTATTTCTTAGTAAGACTGGAACGAAAATAATATTATTCCCATAAGACTTTAAAAATTGTTCTTTTTACATTTTTACATAACATGGTATATCTTTTAAGTTATTATTTATAATATCTACTTTATTCATTTTATTTCTTGCTTCAATGGGATTTTATTTTAAGAAAAAAATTGTTAATGTTCAAGATAAATGCATTTCAATATCCTGCAATTAAAAGAAAGGCCTGTAGTCGAAGCCAGTTTGGCTCAGTGGTAGAGCGTGGGTCTGTGGACTGAAAGGTCCCAGGTTCGATTCCGCTCAAGGGCATGTACATTGGTTGTAGGCACATCCCCGGTAGGGGGTGTGCAAGAGGCAGCTGGTCGATGTTTCTCTCTCATCGACGTTTCTAGCTCTCTATCTATCTCCCTTCCTCTCTGTAAAAAATCAATAAAAAGAAAAAAAAAGAAAGGCCTGTTAAATAAGAGTACAGATGAGCATTTATGTATATGGCACATGTAATTCTTAGCTTTATATCACTTTAATCTCTGCTTTTATACTTTTCTCTATAGCATCTTTATTTATTTCAAAGGATTGCTGTATTTAAGTTAAAGCTCTCCTGCTTTCATACTTTACAGGTCAATTTCTTCTGGAAGAAGCTCGTCTGTTAGAAGCAGCCGAAATGGCAAAAAAAGCAGCAGAACTGGACAGCACAGAGTTTGATGTGGTCTTCAATGCTGCCCACATGCTCAGGTTAGTTTTTCCAACTGTACCTTAAAAGATCAGCACTGTGGGTTTGCGAACGCAGTTAATTCTACTAATCCCCATCATACTACCTCATTCCACATTCATAAATTGGATTATTCTGCTTAGCCCTGTTAAAATCAGGACTATTGTTTTCATTCTAGTTTGTGTATACATTATGTAGGACATACGAGTTTTCAGGATTCTCTAAATATTATAAAGATCCCTCCCCTTCAAAAACTATTGGTCATAAAATACAAAGAGAAAATTGCACAATTGAAATCAATAACTGTCTAGTTAATTATCTCCAAAACAAAACATATGTCAATTAGTCAACTGCATCTCAATTTTTGTGGGGTTTTTTTATTATTAATTAATTGCACTGAATGTGTCATGTGGTTACATTGGATTATGTTTGGTATGGAGAAGATTATAAAATACAAATATATTTAAGGCCTTTCAAATTCTCAAAATGGCCCAATAATTAGCACTGTCAACTATGCATATCTTTAGACCTTTAATGCTTCTATATTCAGAAAAATGATTAGGAAGGTTATTAGAATACTAGTGAAACAATTAAAAGGCAGATCAACAATTTTTGTTGTGAATATAAAAATCAATGCATCCTTCAGTGGGATTTAGATTAAAAGAAGATGTTTTTAAAAAACTGACAGTTGTTTAAAATACTTTATTTTTTTTCTATTAGAAATATGGATATATCTTTTGCCATACTCTCACCTGAATATCACTCTATTGCATCATCTAAATGCTTCATTAGGTGACATTTATACTATTGGCTCAATGTACAATGTCTAGAGATAAGTTTGTAATTATGAAGATTACTCTTACAAGGGAAGACAACAGGAAATTGGATCACATTTGTATGATTTTAAAATATGAACTTTCAAAAACAAGTACTGGTAGAGGAAATATTTTTTACTTTTTATTTTGAGATCATCGTAGATTTATATGCAGTTGTAAGAAATAACACAGAAAGGTTTTCCTATACCTTGTAGAACTACCCTGTCATATCAACATCAGGATATTGACATTGATATAATCCACTGGTCTAATTGTGATTTCCTAGTTTTACTTGTGCCTGTGTGTGTGTGTGTGTGTGTGTGTGTGTGTGTTTAGTTTGATGCATTTTTATCAGTTGTATTGCTTTTGTAGCCATCACCACAGAAAATACAAACTGTTTACATCATCAGAAGCATTCCTTGTGTTGTCCTTTTATAACAACACTAGATGCCTGGTGCAAGAAATTCATGCATGGGGGTGTGTGAGTCTCTCAGCCCAGATTGCACCCTCTCCAATCTGGGACCCCTCAAAGGATGTCCGACAGTCCCACTGGGATCAGGTCTAAACAGGCAGTCAGACATCCCTCTCACAATCCAGGACTGCTGGCTCACAACCACTCACCTGCCTACCTTCCTGATTGCCCCTAACTGCTTCTGCCTGCCAGCCTGATCACCCCCTAACCACTCCCATGCCAGTCTGATTGATGCCTCACTGCTCCCCTGATGGTCCTATTGCCCTTAACTGCCCTCCCCTGCTGGCCTGATCACCCCCAACTATCCTCCCCTGCAGACCTGGTCACCCCCAACTGCCCTCCCCTGCTGGCCTGGTCCCTCCCAAGTGCCCTCCCCTGCAGGCCTGGTCACCCTTAACTGCCCTCTCCTGCAAGCCTGGTCCCCTGAACTGCCTTCCCCTACAGGCCTGGTCATCTCCAACTGTTCTCCCTTGCAGGCCTGGTCCATCCCAACTTCTCTTTCCTACTGGCCTGGTCTCCTCCAACTGCCGTTCCCTGCTGGCCTGGTCCCCTGCAACTTGCCCTCCCCTGCTGGCTATCTTGTGATGGTCATCTTGTGTGCACATGGGGGCGGTCATCTTGTGTATTGGAGTGACAGTCAATTTGCATATCACCTCGTTTTTATATAGGCTATTTTTACCTGTCCTCCAAGAACCAATTTTTAAAGCAAGTTTTATAGATTACTTTGGATTTATAATTTGAGATTCTTATGATAACTGTATTTTAATGGCTTTCTACTTGGATTTTTTGTTTTTGTTTTAAATAAGAAATTCAAAGTTTGTTGAAAAGGAAAGAATGTACTCTTGAGCTTTCTTTTAAATGCTCTTACTCTACATCAATATTTAACATTCCTAAAGCTGATACCTACAAAGAGATATCAGGATTCTGTTGACTATTGTTATATTTATAAAATAAGCTGTTGCTAATTTGCAAGATCCTTCAATGGAAAAATAATTTGTAAAAGACAACTTACTTTGTATGACAAGGTTAGGTACTGCATGAGGGGAACCTTCTTGTTCTTCATGAATAAAGCACTATGCTTTTAGTCAAACAAAAAAAAAATCTAAATATAAGAATGCACAAGTTTCCGCAGGCTAATTCATCTTAATCATAATAGATACTTTCATGTATAAGGCCTTTTGCTACATATTAAATCAGTACCAGAAATTCAAGGTCTACCAATGGAAACCCATTATAAGTATATTACAAAACATGTCCTTGATAAATATATTACTTGTAACTTTTCCTTAGTTACCATAGTGCTAGAAACCAATGGAAAGTTTTTGCTATATATTGGCGATGTAGGAATATTTATGATTTCTTTTTCAGAACCTTTCTCTAGCTTTTTTCATTCTGCCTTCCTCATTAAGTTGCAGCCAGTCAGTACTGCTCTGTATGTATTGATTGCAAGTGTGACCACAGCAGTCTGGCCATATTCTTCTATTTAACTTGGTGGCACTCCCCAAAAATGTTTTAACTTAATTCTTTTGATTCAGTCAAATTCAACTATTTCTTGAGTGCTTCCTGTCTAACCTCTTAAATAATCAAGAACATTTAGGACGTGGTTTGCTGAAAGAAGTAAGAACACTTATTGGCTTTCCCCCTGAATGCAGCCTTATTAAAATGGCTAGCTATTAAGATTTTGCCTAATTAGTGTAATATATAGCATTTCCCCTGGAGATGCAAAATTGTTATAAGTTGAGTTTGATATAAATTCTTCTCTCAAGTGCTCTATTCTTTTCCAAGATATTTAGGAGACAAAATTGGCAAGATTTGGTGACCAACTGGGTATGAGGAAAAGGACACCTGACTCCCTGATTATGTCTTGGTTAGCTGTATTAATGGTTGACCTGACATTCCAAATAAGCAATTTAGGAAATTTATAGTTCAAGTATGGTTTGAGGACACTCATTTAATTTCCCTTTGCTTGGCTAATTCCCAAATAATCTATTAATGAGGAGAAAAATTGCTCATCCCAAATGCAAAAAACAGTTATTCTGTATAGGTCAGATAAGATTGGAAGAGAAGAGAGGTCCTGGGGCCACTCATTAAGGGGAAAATCTTTTATCTTATGAGACTTGAAACTTGAGAAATTTCTAACATACCCATTTCAACTCTCAATAATGGATATGGATCTTTCTCTGTAGGATAACCACATAGAAAGTTCTGAAGTACATGATTTTAATTTGGCAGTCCAGATAAGAATGACAAATCAGATGTATCTAAGTAAAGGGCCTAACCAAAGCAGTGGGATTTATATTAAAATCATAAGAACCACTTAGAACATCTACTATTCATTATAGCAAGATGAGTTGCATGAACACTATGTGGTGTAGAAGTATTAATGCTCTTGACCCAATATGTTTAGCCTTCTGCCTTCGAGAAACACAATAGGATTGCACTTGACTGCCATTTTCAAAGTTGAAGACCTTCCAGCATCTTATTTTGGACATTGAATGTGTGTGAACGTGATGAATGTCACTTTTGTAAGAGTCAGTGCTTTCCCCTTTTTCTGACTTGGAAATTGTGAAATGGTCCTAGGTAGACAAACCTCCCTTCTTACCTGCTTTAGAATGAGAAATAAACTTGGATATCTTAATTTAAGGAGATTTGGGATGTGTTTATTAACTACAGTGTAACCTAACCTGTCCTAACTGATACAGTGTATACCTGTGAAAATAAAATTAGTAGTTGGAAAGAGGAAGAATACAACATCAGGAAAGATGGCTAAGAGATTAATAGGATCTCCAAATTTATGTGTCAGTGGAGGCAAGTCACAGCTATTAGACTGATAATTTAAATAGAAGTATTTTCCAAGAAATTGATGGCAAATACTAAAGATGTGAAAAATTACAACTGAAAGAATTAAAGATTAGAGGATAGATTAAGAATACTATGCACATTCATAATTGTATATGTTTCCCTGTATATATAGTATACAGGTATGCATATATAGTTATATACATTTATATATAGTATATACATAGTATGTAGACTGAGTGGCCAGATTATTATGATCTCTGAACGCACAATAATCTGGCCACTCTGTGTGTGTGTGTGTGTGTGTGTGTGTGTGTGTGTGTGTGTATTAGAGGCCCGGTGCATGAATTTGTGCATGGGTAGGGTCCAGCCAGCCTGGCCAGGGGGAGGGGACATGGGCGGTTGGCCAGCCTGCCTACTGGTTGAACTCCTGGTCGAGAGGACAATTTGCAAATTAGCCTTTTATTATATAGGATATACACGAAGTGGCCAGATTATTATGCCACTCAGTGTATGTAGTATTGCTATATAGTTTTATTATCTGTATATATTAATATGTGTATATATAATTATATATACATATTTACATGTAAATTTACATATGCACATATTCGGTATATGTAAATATAACATTTCCAAAGAAGATCATAGAGCAGATAAACAATTATCAACAAATTAGGGGCTTAGTGCACAAATTTGTGCACTTTGAAAGGAACTGTTGGCTACGAGGCTGTGGAAGACAGAAAGGCAGGTCTTGGTCCATCCTCTGCACCCCTGCCTGGCCTTTCTCAACGCAGCCCTTGGTCCCCTGTCTGACAGCAACCCTACTCCTGCTGCCACTGCTCCCACATGCTGATGGGGCCAGCCCTGCTTGCACCTGCTGATGGTGTAGAGCGATTGGGGCCAGCACCAGCAGCAGTGTGAGTTGGCCTGTGCC